CTACACGGCAACCGAATTTGGCAGGTTTTTATGCGCCAAGACTCCAGCGAAAAGTGCTCCATCGAAAAAGGCGGGTGTCTGACGCTCAGTTCTTCTCTCCTCTGTTCTGGGTCTTGAGTCATTATTTCAAGTGTTAAATGAAAGTAAATTGGAAACATACATACAAAGAGAAAAATTATTTATTTATAATCTAATTTTGATGTAAAGAACATTAATGACCTCTTTTGTATAATATTAATAATATTTCTCGTGTACTATTAGTGAAAAAAATGTAAAGAAAAAAAATTCCATCGGTTTTAGAGAAAATGCTTTTTTATAATTTGCAAACGTTTTAACGGATTGTATGCAGAGAAAAATCTAGATCTTCAATATTGTAGATGTAGGAAGACGAAATATGTTTTGAACTTGCGTTGACCACGGACTGACGGGCTGACAGAGTTTCTGCTATCAGTCGGTGTCAAGGGTCCACAAAACATGGATTCTGACTACACAACACGGTAATGTAATTTTCTATATATAGGGACATGATTTACCCACTTTTTTGGTACAATTGCCCGGCAATATCACTTTTTTTGACGAAAAATTGTTTAGTAGTTTCGCAATATTTTATACTGCAGAGTACGTCTTTAGTAGGGGGCTGATTTTTATGAAATGTCATTTTTTTCTTTTTACTTGAGAACAATGCCGTTTAGTATAGAAATTAATTTTTCGTTATGGCAAAAAGAAGTAACCCATTTTCATATATCATTTATCGTCGATTTGGACCAATAAGTCATTTTTTACCTTTCTCGTCTTTTTTAATGCATTTTCGATTTTATCGATTTTAATATCATTTTAATGGTACTTGGTTCAAACAAACTACCAGTTCTCCACATAATTCCTGAGTAGCTAATTCGATATTTTAGCTCAGAAATTGTAATAGCCGTTGGATGTAATTTAAGGTTCCTGTGACGCCAATCAGCGCCCTTGTTGCTTTGGCCAATTTTGGGATAACTAAAGGCAGAGATTTCTTGAAAAAGAACCGCCCAAAACAAAATTAGCAAACTGAGTGCACTTGAACGAATAGAAGAGGCCTCGATTACATCAATAACGTATCCAACTAACTTGAGTTGTTGATCTGAGGAGGTTTTGATCACATTTTTTGCATCATTTTTCTCTGCTTTTAGGGCATTTTAAAAACATTTTAAGAGCATTTTATCGATCAATTTTTTAGCAATGTTTTAGGTCATCAAAATTCAATCTACAGCTATTAGTTAGCGTGGTTACTGATTTATTCGCCACATTATGAAATTTAATTCTGTTCCACGGCACTGAACTCATCAGAGTTTATGCGCAAATACCTCGCAAAATTGATGATTGAAGAAATAATGTTTGTTTTTGTAAATTTTATCTTGTATTGGCACTTCCAATTTTATGCCAGGACTTACATTGTTTATTGCGTTTTCGAGACGTTTCAAGTCATATCATGAATTTCAACATGAATATTGTACGCCAACAAGCAACGTGCATGTCCGTTCTTTCTTTCTTTTTTATCCTTTTTTTATTCTCCCGGCCTCGATAGATGCCTATTTCTCATGTTACATTATCTTCCGATTCTACTCATGTGATCAGTGCAATGCGCTTCCGATTCCCTAAGACACTATTTCTTGGGAGTTCTGTAATACGATCGTCATGCTTCCAGCTACCCCTTTCTTTTAATGATATCTGAGTATATTTCACTTATTGGATGGTAACTCTTAGTTTTCTACAGTCTGGGGATTTTTCAACACAAGATACACTCACGAAACTAATCTACGTGTTTTGGGACATTCACGTACTCAACTGTACTATTCTTACCTCTTACCCCTGTCAACCTGTAACTTTTTAAGATTTGAATGGCTAGAGTATGTTTCTATTGGAAATCCACTCTCCTTGCTACTTTATCGCTATTACTACGTACGAAGAGAAAGTTTTGAAAACGGCGAATTTTCGAATGAAAACCACTATTTTACCGGGCCCTAGTAACGAAAAAGTGTATAAGTCCTGTCACTATGTATAGTAAATTATTTCCTCTAATCCGTGGTAATCTGTAGTCAGAATCCGTGTTTTGTGGGTCCTTGATACCGAAGAATAGACTGATGGCAAAATATCTGTTTGCATGTCCGTCCGTCTGTGATCAACGCTAGCGCCTAAACCGATCAGCCGATTTGCTCCGAAATTGATATTCCACGATCGATCTGAATGAAATCCAGTATTTGGGAATTTCAAATGGGTATTCTGAGTTTTGAGGGTACTTTACTAGAAGTCTCAAAAACATTTTCAATTTTTTTTAATGACCCCGAATGTTTTGATTAAACTTTGACCACAGTTAGCGTAAAGATCGCTAATGCTTATGAGAATGTCTCATGTTCGTTAAAATTCCAGATTTGTCGAAAAAAATACAATAGCTCTTCACACACAAGCACAAGCAATTGGGGACGAAGGGAACTGGAAATCCCCTGGTAATTATAAGATCCACAACTATTGGATTAAGAAATTAACAGTATTACATTCTCATCTAGCAAAGGCTGTTAATAACATTTTAGTAGACCCAAAGGAACTCCCGAAATTGCTCACACGCGGCACCGCGTATTTGCTACCCAAAGTGGGAGACAGTTCTTTGGGGAAGAACTGCCTCCCGCTTTGGATACCAGTCAAAGCTTCATAAGTTGGCACAGAGGGAAAACATGAGTTAGCAGAGTTCAAGAGAATTCTACGGTATGGGAGAGGCGTTGTTATTTAATAATGTCATATTTGTAAAATCAACTGTTTTCTGAAACAAATTAATACCCTAGCGACATATGCGATTCTGAATGATAATGTCAGTATGTTTAATCTGATATCGTGTCTCACCGCAGGAATATACTGAATCAAAAGTTTCCCGCTTCGTATTCTCTTACAGTTCAAAATTGTCAGAGACGATAGCTTAATACAGGTAAACTTGGAAATTTGTCCCGGGGAAGGTGTTCTTTTAAAATTAATATTTAGACGTGTCGTCTAGAAAAAAATCACTAGAGTTCACGATCACATGGTCATTAATGGTCGTGACCGCTTAATTGAGGTGTTTGAGCAGGTTTTCCTGTAAATGGTGAAATATTCGAGACGCAAAAATTCTATTAATGTCTTACCAGGTTTGATTTAAAAACAGCCCCTGCTTATTTGTTCAGAACATGCGGTATAAATAAGGCTGAGTTGACTAGAAAAATATTACCCTTAATAATTATCCAGTTTGAATACTATCCTCTCGCTATCGAAAAATATCTCCTTGCGTAGGCAGTTGTGTATGGCGCCTCGGTACCACGAGGAGTTAGAATCTGTTTACAGCATTGGCCTTGCCATCGCCATCCCCATTGCATCCCTTGGGACTTAATGTCCCGATTGTTGGCGGCTGCTGTGGGGTCTGGCGAAGGCCAAGGTCGCTCATTTCAGGGACGACGACGTTTCCGCTATCAAAGAGAACTGCTGTTGAAGCTATTTACCATTTGTATCGACTCGTACACCTACGTGCTTGTTGCCATTTGAAGTTCGCTTGATGAATTGCCTCCTTTGGTTGAATGCGAGCTATCTGCCGTGGAATTAGTCATTACGTCGGAGGAAGCTGAAGTTCTGGTGACAATAGCATTCCAGGTTTGACCCGATGATGCAGGATTTTCAACGAGCCACAGATTGCGCGGAATTCTTTCTTACACACTCCCAAACGTAGGCCAAACATTCCAATTCCGAGCGCCGAACAGTGCAGATTGTGCAAAGCTCGCAAGATCGGAACACTAAGAATAGAGATGGACCTGTCCGATGCCGACGAAACCACGTCCAATTATCACTTTCTCTCTACGGAATAGAGAGAAAGTTGTGTAATGCTGCGTGAAAAAACGGCGAATTTTAGGGAGAAAAACTCTTGTTACAAGGTCCTGGTAACGAAAAAGTGAATAAATCCAGTAGCTAACTTAAAAAATACTTTATCGCGTGGTGTAGCGGAAAATTGAATGAAGGTAAAACGTCCGTCGGTCTGTCCGTCTATGAACAACGATAGCGGCTAAACCATTCTGCCGGAGTTTCTACAAAATTGATATTCCTCAGTCGATTTGACTAATGTCACAGCCCCTTGAATTTGAAACCGATAATTCAATTTTTATGGATATTTTACATTAAGACCCTGGACCATTTTCTAAATTTTGAAAAAAAGGCTCCATCGTTTTCAATTAAATTTTGTTTATGGATAGAGTGAAAGACATATAAGAAAATACTGTAGATCTCATGTTGGTTGAAAATTCTGTTTTTTGGAAAATTGCAAAAGCTCAATTTTTCCGTAGCCTTCATGAACTGAACGAAAAGCACAAAATTTATTTTGAGAATATGCAAATTTTAGATCAACAACATCGAAAATGTCTCAAGTTAATGGGAGAAACTCTAAATATTAAAGTAACATCAACCATGCATTTAAAGTTAGAAATAAATCAATTAACTAAAATGCTATGATAACTTGCTATATTTAGTAAAAGAAAAGTAAACGACCTAATTAAAAAAACTAATCAAACTCCCCCCTCCCCCCTTCTTCGTCCTCTTCTTTTCTCCCCAACTCCAAGCAACTACCCTTCGCTCAGTTGGCACTCGATAAGAACACACGCGTTCGTGCGGTGCGGTTCTCACTCCCGAGTATGTTATGTAGTGCCCTCTGATTAGATGTATATTTACGTATTTATACTGTGGTTATGGATAATATAATATAATATTGGAGAAAACACGGGAAAATGTCGATCAGAGCGACCGCTAGAATTGTCCCGCAAATTCGTCAAAGTTATATAGCAGTAGTATCGGAAATCCGCCACCACCGAGACTGGAACCTTAGGACGTCACGTTTAGTGTCGCTACAGAGGCGATTGTTGTCACTGAGCCATCGCAGCCAACCTTGGTGCTTCTGGGTACCCGTTTGATGATGCTACGCCCATCCGCTGGCGATGTGCTGGGCGCACGTACGTACTCACAGGTGAGCTGCGCCTCGTGGTCCAGACGAATGAGCGCTATGTCGTTTTTGAACTGAGGCACACCGTACGACTTGTGCACCAGAATCTCGGACGGCTGGAAGTCCTGCACTGGGTCCGCGCACACGCTGTTCTCGCAGTCCGGGTTGGTCTGCGTGTTGTGTTCACCCAGCCGGAGCGCTGCCCTGCGAGGCAAGATCTGTTTTTCGTTAAATTTTCTTTAGTTATTCCTTTGCTAAAACGCAGTGAGTAACAATCCAATCTTCTTGCTTATGTAAGGGAGAAAACGGTATTTAACCCTTAGACCCTGTTTGGAGTCATTTGTGATCTGCAGGTGCAAATAATGTTTTGCAACACTGAAAATTCTTCTCATGGACTTCCCCGTTTAGATATGATATTTATGTCCAGTTTTACATGTGTTGTAAAATTTAAAATTTTCTCGGTTTGAAGAAATTTGGTTTTATGAGGTTGGGCTCAAAAATGCTCCCAAACAGATTCCATGTTACACCTCTACAATATTAGAACAATTCTAAAAACGTATCCATTTCAGTTTTATAATATTACGTTGTGGTTTCTGAACGATAATCTGGCGTATTTGTCTATTACGAGTTCGTAGCCCTGTATCAAACATTCTCATGCTGGAACGATATACACCTATGCATAATAATGATATGCTAGAATGAATTTTTTCTAAAAATGTTTGATTTCTTCATACGATATAGTACATAAAGCAAATAAATACGGTAAAATCTAATTCAGAACCTGTACGGCAAGAAACCTGCCTTATCTGGAAAATTGAGCGTAGGAAGGCTGCGGACATGGCTTCTACTCACGCGTTTCCCCGCCCCTCGATGAAGACCAGATACGCGTTGATCAAGGCAATGTAATGGTAACAGAAAGTTATAGTACTGGGTTGTGACTCATTGTGCGTTGAAAGAGTCAGCAAGCAGACTGAAAACAGTCGGTAAAGTGTGTATTTTGTAACTCAGAAGCTGTCAATGGAGAGTTTTTAATATTAACTTATAGGTGATTTCTTCTATAAGTACGTTATATGTTAACTTATTTTGATCATTATAATAATGTCATGTAATTTACTGATTTCAAGGCGGAAACGTCAATATCACAAGTGTCATAAAATGGACAACTTTTGCATGAAACGGAAACTTTCCTGAACCGGGGTTTTTTGCTAATCCATCGATTCTGGCTTCGATTTTACTGTAATATCGTTTTCTCACTTAGTAATTACAATGAATGTTCATATGAAATACTTGTAAACTATTATGTAAAATGTGTGATGTCAAATCACACCTCAAACAAAATTCACGTAAAAAATGGGAAACAGGGTCGACGGATAGGTCAGTAGTGACTTGTGTAATTTCTGTATTGAGGCGAAAGGTAGTGATATTATTTAATCTCTGTAATGCTATGCGGTACTTTATATAATATAAAGTATGTAATAAATAACACGTTATTTTTTGCGTATTTTCCGATTTTAATTGGGCATACTTTTGGGAGAAAATGGTATTATTTGTGTTAAATAGTACCATATATTATTATTCAGATTCGATACTAATACAAATTGTGCGTCCCACTCGCAAACATCTTCGGGTATATATAGGGAAATGGGAGGTGGAATTAACTGCACATTTATACAATACAGTGTAGTTGGTTTAAAATTTCGATGTTTTCATTTTAGAAACAGATGCCAATAACGTTATGCCACGTAAAAAATGTGTTCCTTCGTTTTTGCATAAGAAAAGAAATAGCTTAGAGGGAAATAACTTAACATACATATTGACCATATTTCTAGTTTAATATCAGTACTTGTCACGAAGTGGGAATGTGGTTATTATTACGTTATTGTTTTGATAAACCTATTTCAGAATTGGCTTCTGAACCCTCCTCGTCGATCCATGGCATGTGTAAGAGTAGGGCAAAATAAATAGGGATGCGACGTCTGCTCAATCTTCACGAACAACGATTTGTATTTTGACAATTAAGACCATATTAATACTTTGTTAAATATTGTGCGTAATAGGATAATTCGATGCTGTTCAGGAAAATGGAGTTAAGCCATATAGGTAAATGTAAAGAAAAGTGAAAATAAAACTGTATGTGGTTATTGTAGAGCAGATAAAATTTAAAAAGTATTTAATTCACTACAAATTGTAAAGTTGTGATACAGATTATAGATTTTGTCATGTTGATCTCCCTAAGAAATGAAAATTAACATTCACATAAATGTCATAACTCTCTTTACTTGAGCACCAATGAATTATTATAATGATTTATATAACCAATGGTATTTATCTAAAATTTTAACCATGTCTATCGCTATACGTCTCACTCTGTAAAATCAATTTACTTGATGGTAATAGTTTCTCTCTGTCCGCAACAGTACTGCTATCTAATTTGTATACGTTCATTATAATTATCATGAACTAGTGAGATTCCTTCGTCTGATTACATTAACATTCTTTTTCTGTAGCTGATACATCTACATTACATTATTTTGATCTTGCCAATCTTACCGCAAATTACCAATCTTTCATGTTCTTAATTATGTGTTCTTAATTGATTCTCGTTTTCCTGATGTCAATATATACATCATCTCATCTGATTTTGGTATTTAAAATTTCATAACTGGCAACATAAAAATATTTAATGTAAAAAAACTAGGCGAATAAAAAACAACACACCAAAACATTAAAACATCCAAAAGGCCATAAAAACTGGAATTGCAATATAAGTAGAATTACATAGCCAATAAGTCAATAAAATAGTTTTTAAAAATTCGAAGACGTTTCTACCCTTGCAGATTTAGGATGTTCTTCGGGTGTGAAACATAATCCTAAAACAACATTCGTAAAAATACATGAAAAATAATAAAAAGTTAAAACAGTGTCGTTATATCTGAACACGTAATAAAGCTTATGCATACTCCATTGAATAGAAATGATTGTCAATCATGGACCATATGTCATAATACAAAATGTCATGAAAATATTCACGCCGCGAGATGTGGATCGTGTTGAATAAGATAACGAAATTATAGAAGTTTGTTTGTTGGTTGGTTCGTGCTTAATGCGCTGCCGTACCGTTCATCTGATTGTGATAAAACATTGTCAACTTATTGCTGGCACTTGTGGGAAAAATATAGTCATAGTATGATGGAAATGTGCATATTCTTGCGCACATTGACGCGCGTTGGTTATTTTATGCTGACTCAAGCGCCCTGACCAGCGCGATCTAAGTAACGGCGCTCAACGCAACTCGTCGCATCTTGAAGTACGATTATTAAGACATCTTCATTGTGTATTCTGTCCCTGCGATTGTGAAGTTTCTCCTGAGAGAGACGTTTAGAGATAGAGAAGACAGAGGAAGACAGACGCAGAGACACAAAGTCAGAGAAAGAGGCAGAGGGACGGAGAGAGCCGGAAATACATGGAGAGGGAGAGACGGAGACTGAGATGGATAGGGACGATGAGACGGAGAGAGAAAGAAAGAGAGAAAGAAAGAGAGAGAGAAAGAAAGAGAGAGAAAGAAAGAGAGAGAGAAAGAAAGAGAGAGAAGAGAGAGATGAGAGAGTGATAGAGAGAGTAAGAGAGAGTAAGAGAGAGTAAGAGAGAGTAAAGATGAGAGTAAGAGAGAGTAAAAGAGAGAGTAAAAGAGAGTAAGAGAGGTAAAGAAGAGAGTAAGAAGAGAGTAAGAGAGAGTAAAGGAAAGAGAAAAGAGAAGAGAGAGAGAAAGAGAGAGAAAGAAGAGAGAAGAGAGAGAAAGAGAGAGAAAGAGAGAGAAAGAGAGAGAAAGAGAAGAGATAAAGAGAGAGAAAGAGAGAAGAGAGAGAAGAGAGAGTAAGAGAGAAGAAAGAAGAGAAAAGAGAAGAAAAGAAAGAGAAGAAAGAGAGGAGAAAAGAGAAGAAAGGAGAGAGAAATGAAGAGAGAAAGAAGAAAGAGAGAAAGAAAAGAGAGAAGAAAAGAGAGAAAGAGAGAGAAAGAGAGAGAGAAAGAAGAGAAAGAGAGAGAAGAGAGAGAGAAAGAGGAAGAGAAAGAGAGAGAAAGAGAGAGAAAGAGAAGAGAAAGAGAGAGAAAGAGAGAGAAAGAGAGAGAGAAGAGAGAGATAAGAGAGAGAAGAGAGAGTAGAGAGAGAAGAGAGAGAAGAGAGAGAAGAGAGAGTAACGAGAAGGAGAAGAGTAGAGTAGAGGAGAGTAGAGATAGAGTAAGAGATGAGAAGAGAGTAAGAGAGAGAGAGAGAGAGAAAGAGAGAGAAAGAAGAGAGAGAAAGAGATGAGAAAGAGAGATGAAAGAGAGCATGAAAAGAGAGAGAGAAAGTAGAAGAGAAAAAAGAAGAATAAGTAGAGAGAAAGAGAGAGAAAGAGCAGAGAGAAGAGAGAGAAAGGAGAGAGAGTAGAGAGAAAGAGAGAGAAAGAGAGAGAAAGAGAGAGAAAAGAGAGAGAAGGAGTAAAGAGAGAGTAAAGAAGAATTGAGAAGAAGACGAGAGAAAGCAGAGTAGAAACGAGAGAGAAAGAGAGAGAAAGAGAGAGAAAGAGAAGAGAAAGAGGAGAGAAAGAGAGAGAAGAGATGAGAAAGAAGAGAAAGAGAGAGAAAAGAGAGAGAAGAGAGAGAAAAGAGAGAAGAAAGAGAGAGAAAGAGGAAGAGAAAGAGAGAGAATAGAGAGAGTAAGAGAGAGTTAAGAGAGAGTAAGAGAGAGTTAAATGAGAGAGTAAGAGAGAGTAAGAGAGAGTAAGAGAGAGTAAGAGAGAGTAAGAAGAAGAGGAGAGAGAAGGAAAGAGAGAGAGAGAGGGAGGAAAGAGAAGAGAGAAAGAAGAAAGAGAGAGAGAGAGAGAAGAGAGAGAGAAAGAGAGCGAAGGACGAGAGAGAGAGACGAGAGAGAAAGAGAGAGAGAGAGAGAAGAGAGGAGACGAGAGAGAAAAGAGAGAGAGGAGAGAAAGAAGAAGAGATGCACGAGAGAGAAAGAGAGGGAGGTTCGAGAGAGAGAAAGAGAGAAGAGAGAAGAAAAGACTGAGAAAGAGAGAGAAAGAGAGAGAGAGAGAAGAATGAGAGATGGAGAGAAAGAGAGAGAGGAGATAAGAAGAGAGAAGAGAGAAAGGAGGAGAGAGAGAAAGAGAGAGAGAGAGAGAGAAGAGATGAAGGGCAGAGCATACCGTCTGCCGAGGTTTCCGCAATATATAATAGCCATCATGCTTTGTACTTAAGAAGTGTGTGCACCTCACAACGCCGTAAATTTTCCAATAATGGAAAAAACTGTTTAAAAATGAAAAACACTACAAAATAATCAAAACGTATAGTTTGAACGACTTGAGCGCGAGAAGAAAGTCTGCGTTGAGCAATTCACTTGATTTATCCTAATAAAATTCCTTGGAGTTTATTTTTGTCATTTTGTCATGTTTAGAATGAGAGGCTAAGGTTAAAAATATTAATAAAATGACATGGTAGTTAAACTGAATTTGGAAAATATTAGCATACTTACTTTTTTCTCCCCTTCCCGTGAAAATCATAAATAAATTAGTGCATTGGTTCAAAACTGCTACACCTTCGACAACAAATTTTCCAAGTCTAGACAATAGAGAAATGGAATTGAGGACAGAACTGAAATGAATATGAAGATTCTATCAAGGAGAGAGAGGTGACACAATGCCGAATTTTCTACAATACGTAAATGTTTCTTTCTAAAACCTGATACCACATATTGGTGAAAAGGTATTTCTATCCTATTATATCGAGATGAAGATGGACAAGGGTAATTTATATTTGTCTGTAAGTAAAAATGCACGATTTGAGGCGGGCGAGAGAGCCGCGAGGAGGCGCGTCGCGGGGCGAGCGGGTACTTACACTTTGAGAGAGCGCTGGAAGGCCTCGTGAAAGCAGTGCGCCGCCGTCACCACGGTAAGAACTTGTTGATGAGGGCCGCCCGCCGCAGCGGCGTAACCGGGGCTGGCTCCGACGGCCTGGGTTCCTGCGCAACCGCACGGACCGCGAAGGCAATTGTTTGATTATTTAATATTTTAGGCGGGAGCAATGAACTGATCATGTATCAGTGCCCCTTGAAATGTGTGCCAATGTTATATCACGGGGAGTGCCAGAGTTCATTCCCCGCTGGTGGGAATAGTCCGGCGCGCGCGAGCGCGAGGTATTTTGTGGGGTTTCTCCCCTCCAGGCCTTCTTTCATGCAGGGTATGCCGGCCCACCAGCCCAGAACGTAAGCGCGAAGATCCCGACTTGTTGTAGTGCATTTGACAGAGTAGAGAGAGCGAAGCGAGCGACCGAAGAGGAGAGAAGCGACGCGGGGAGAGAGTGGGAGAGAGAGGAAGAGTAGAGCGGAAAAGAGCGAGAGAGAGAAAGGCGAGAGAAGAGAGCGAGCAGGCACATGCTAAGAGCGAGGCGAGAGGCGAGCGAGAGAGCGAGCGCGAAGAGCAGCGAGCGAGAGAGGCGAGCGAGAGAGCACCGAGCGGAGCGGAGAGAGAGAGCGAGAAGAGCCGAGCCGAGAGAGCGAGCCGGAGAGAGCGAGCGAGAGAGCGAGCGAGAGAGCGAGCGAGAGAGCGAGCGAGAGAGCGAGCGAGAGAGCGAGCGAGAGGAGCGAGCGAGAAGAAGCGAGCGGAGAGAGCGAGCGGAGGAGCGAGCGAGTAGAGGGCGAGCGAGAGAGCGAGCGAGAGAGCGGGAGCGAGAGAGCGAAGCGAGAGAGCGAGCGAGCAGAGCGGAGCGGAAGAGCGAAGAGAGGAGAGAGCGTGGCGAGAGTGGAGCGAAGAAGGCGAGCGAGAGAGGAGCGAGCCCGGAGAGAGAGCGGGGAGCGGAGAGAGCGGACGGAGAAGAGAGCGAGGCGAGAAGAGGCCGAGCGAGAGAGAGCGAGCGGAGAGAAGCGAGCGAGAGAGACGAGCGAGAAGAGAGCGGTGGCCCGAGAGAAGGAGAGAGGGCGGAGCGAGAGAGCGTGTCGTAGACGAGAGAAGACGCGTGCGAGAGAGAGGAGAGGCCGTGCGAGAGAGAGAGAGCGCGAGAGAGGAGGAGAGCGGGGAGCGAGAGAGAGAGAGCGAGCCGGAGCGAGAGAGAGCGAGCGAGAGAGAGAGCCGAGGAGAGAGAGAGCGAGAGAGAGAGGAGCGAGGAGAGAGAGAGCGAGCGAGAGAGAGAGCGAGGCGAGAAGAGAGAGCGAGCGGATGAGAGAGAGGCGGGTGAAGCGAGAGAGAGAGCGAGCGGAGGCGAGAGGAGCGAGCGGAGAGAGGGACGAGCCGAGCGAGAGAGCGAGCGAGAGGGAGAGAGCGAGCGGAGCGAGAGTAGAGCTGAGCGGAAGAGAGGCGGTATGCCGAGAGAGAGCGGAGGCCGAGAGAGGGAGCGACGGAGACGAGCGAGAGAGAGCGGAAGCGGAGAGAGAGCCGAGCCGACGGAGAGAGAGAGCGAGCGAGATGAGAGAGAGGGCGAGCGAGAGAGAGAGAGCGAGCGAGGAGGAAGAGCCCGAGAGAGAGAGAAGACGGGATGAGTGTACCGACGGCGAGGATGTATGAGGAGAAGAGCGAGGGGAGAGAGAGAGAGAGCCGAGCGAGAGAGAGAGGACGAGGCGAGAGAGAGAGAGACGCGGCGAGAAGAGGAAAGGCGGAGCGAGGAAGAGAGAGACGGAGCGGCGGAGAGAAGAGAGAGCGAGCGAGAGAGAGAGAGCGAGCGAGAGAGAGAGCGAGCAGAGAGAGAGAGCGAGCGAGAGAGAGAGAGCGAGGCGAGAGAGGAGAGCGAGCGAGGAGAGAGAGAGCGGAGCGAAGGGAGAGAGAGAGCGGAGCGAGCGAGAAGAAGAGAGAGAGAGGCCGAGGGCGAGAGAAGAGAGGAGAGCCGAGCGAGGAGAAGAGAAGCCGATGAGAGAGAGAGAGGCTGGAAGGAAGAGAGAGGGCACGAGCGAAGAGAGAAGCGAGCGAGAGAGAGAGCGAGCGGAGAAGAGAGAGCGGGCGAGCGGGGAGGAGAGAGAGCGAGCGAGCGAGAAGAGAGAGAGAGCGAAGCGAGAGAAGAGAGGCGTAGAGCGAGCGAGAGAGAAGAGAAGAGAGCGAGCGGGAGAGAGGAGGCGAAGGCGAGCGAGAGGAGAGAGCGAGCGAGAGAGCGAGCGAGCGAGGAGAGAGAGCGAGAGAGGAGAGAGAGGGAGAGGGAGCGAGAGAGCGAGAGCAGAGAGAAGAGCGAGAGAGAGAGAGCGAGTCGGAGAGAGAGAGAGCGGAGCGCAATAGAGAAGAGAGCCAGCGAGAAGAAGAGGAGAGCGAGCGAGAGAGGAGAGGAGCGAGAGAGAGGAGCGAGCGAGAGAGAGAGGCGAGCGGAGAGAGAGAGGCGGAGCGGGAGAGAGAGAAGGGGCGAGGCGAGAGAGAGAGGCGAGCCGAGAGAGAGAGAGCGAAGGGACGAGAACAAGAGAGAGAGCGGAGAAGAGAGAGAGCGAGCGTAGAGAAGAGGAGAGCGAGCGAGAGAGAGAGCGAGCGAGAGAGAGAGGCGAGCAGAGAGAGAGCTGAGCGGAAGAGAGAGACGAGCGAGAGAGCGAGCGGGAAGAGAGAGAGCGAGCGAGGATGAGAGAGCGAGCGAGAGAGAGAGCGGAGCGAGAGAGAAGAGCGAGAGTAGAGAGAGCCGAGAGGGGAGAGAGCGGAGAGAAGAGAAAGAGAGCGGGAGAGAGAGTAAAGAGACGAGAAGGGAAGAGGAGAGCGATGAGAGAGAAGGAGAGCGAGCGAAGAGAAGGAGAGCGGGAGCGAGAGGAGGAGAAGGCGGAGCGAGGAGAAGGAAGCGAGCGAAGAGAAGGAGAGCGCAGGCGGAGAGAAGCGAGAGCGCAGCGAGAGAAGGAGAGCGAGCGAGAGAATGGAGAGCGAGCGGAGAGAAGGAGAGGGGAGCGAAGACGAAGGAAGGAGAGGAGCGGGGGAGAGAAGGGAAGAGCGACGCGGGAGAGAAGGAGAGCGAAGCGAGAGGGAAGGAGAGCGAGCGAGAGAATGAGAGCGAGCCGGGAAGAGAAAGGAGAGCGAGCGGAGAGAAGGAGAAGCGAGCGAGAGAAGAGAGAGCCCGAGCGGGAGAGAAAAAGGGGGAGAGCGAGCGAGAGAAAGGAGAGGCGAGCCGGGGAGAGAAGGAGAGCGAGCCGAGAGAAGGAGAGCGAGCGAGAGAAGGAGAGCGGAGCGAGAGAAGGAGAGCGAGCGAGAGAGAGAGAGAGCCGAGAGAAGGAGAGGCGAGCGAGAGAAGGTATGAGCGGAGTCGAGAGAAGGAGAGCGTAGCGAAGAGGAAAGGAGAGGCGAGGCGGAGAGAAGGAGAGCAGAGGCCCGAAAGGAGAGCGCGGCGAGAGAAGGAGAGCAGCCGAGAGAAGGAGAGCGAGCGGTAGAGAAGGAGAGGAGCGGAGAGAAGGAGAGCGAGCGAGAGAAGGAGAGCGAGCGGAAGAGATAGGGAGAGCGAGCGAGAAGAAGGGAAGCGAGCGGGAGAAGAAGGGAGAGCGAGCGAGAGAAGGAGAGCGAGGCCGAGAGAGGAGAGGCGAGGAGAGAAGGAAAGAGCGAGCGAGGGAAGGAGAGCGAGCGGGGCGAGAGGGAAGGAGAGCGAGCGGGGCGAGAGCAGGAGAGCGAGCGGGCGAGAGAAGGAGAGGCGAGCGAGGCGGAAGCGGAGAAGGGAGAGCGGGAGGGCGAAGCGGGGGGCGAGATGGAAGGGACGCAGCGGAGCGAGCGGGCGAGAGAAGGAGAGCGAGCCGATGTCGGGAGCGAGAAAATTGTATTCGCGGCAGCGGAGAGAGCGAGAGAGAGCGAGAGAGCTGGAGCGAAGAGCGAGGCAGAGAGCGAGAGAGCGAGAGAGCGGAGACGAGAGAGCGAGCGAGAGGGAGCGAGAGAGCGAGAGAGCGAGCGAGAGAGCGAGAGAGCGAGAGGAGCGAGCGTAGAGAGCGAGAGAGCGAAAGCGAGAGAGCGAGAAGAGGCGAGAGGAGCGAGCGATGAGAGCGAGAGAGCGAGCGAGAGAGCGAGCGAGAGAGAGAGAGAGCGAGCGGAGAGAGCGAGCCGGGAGAGAGCGAGCGAGAGAGGGAGCGGAGAGAGCGAGCGAGAGAGCGAGCGAGCGAGAGACGCGAGCGAGAGAGCGAGCGAGAGGAGCGAGAAAAGAGAGTGAAGAGCGAGCCGAGAGAGAGGGAGCGAGAGAGCGAGAGAGAGCGAGAGAGCGAGAGGAGGCGAGAAGAGCGAGCGGAGAGAGCGCAGAGGAGCGAGGAGCGAGCGAGAGAGCGAGAGAGCGAGCGGAAGAGCGAGCGAGAGAGGGGAGGCGAGAGAGCGAGCGAGAGAGCGAGCGAGAGGAGCGGAGCGAGAGAGCGAGCGAGAGAGCGAGCGAGAGAGCGAGCGAGAGAGGAGCGAGAGAGCGAGCGAGAGAGCCGAGCGAGAGAGCGAACGGAGGAGCGAGAGAGCGAGCAGAGCGAGAGAGCGAGCGAGAGAGCGAGCGAGAGGCGAGAAGAGCGAGCGAGCGAGAGAGCGGAGCGAGAGAGCGAGGCGAGAGAGCGAGCGAGCGAGAGAGCGAGCGAGAGAGGCGGGAGCGAGAGAGCGAGCGAGGAGCCGAAGGCGGAGAGAAGCGAGCGAGCGAGAGAGCGAGCGAGAGAGCGAGCCGAAGAGAGGCGAGCGGAGAGCGTAGCGAGAGAGCGAGCGACGAGAGCGAGCGAGAGAGGCCGGAGCGAGAGAGCCGAGGCGAAGAGAGCGAGCGAGAGAAGCGAGCAGAGGCGAGCGAGAGAGCGAGCGAGGAGCGAGCGAGAGAGGCGGGCGAGAGAGCGAGCCGAGAGGAGCGAGCGGAGAGAGCGAGCGAAGAGAGCGAGCGAGAGAGCGAGCGGAGAGAGCGAGCGAAGAGCGAGCGAGAGAGCGAGCGAGAGCGAGCGAGAGGAGCGAGCGAGAGAGCGAGCGAAGAGAGCGAGCCCGAGAGAGCGAGCGAGGGAGAGCGAGCGAGGAGCGAAGAGAGAGAGCGTAGCGAAGAGGCGAGAGAGAGCGAGCGAGAGAGGAGGAGAGCGAGCGAGAGGGA